TCTTTTGATTCAATTGTTGATCGTTGTTCTGAATTTTCTGAGCAGTACAAATCTACTTCATTCTGTTTCTTCGAGAGTTCCTCTTTGAGGCCTTCGAGTTGTCTTTCTGTTCTTTCTTTATAGCTGGTCATTTCGGTCTCTTTTTGCTCTATTGTCTTTCTCAGCTGATCTGCTTCATTTCTGAGTTGATTCAATTTATCTTCCTTACTTTCAATTTGTTCGTTAAGTTGAACTTTTTCAGAGCAATTGTTATTGAGAGCCATCTGAAGGTCCTTTATCTTTTCGAGGTGAGTAAGCAGCTCCTGTTTCAAGTAAAAAATTTCCTTATTTTTCACGTCGTCAGCATTGTCGATTATTGCTCTCAATTCTACGTTTTCTTTCAATTTTTGCTCATTCAATTTTTGCTGTTCGGAAAAGTCATTTCTAAGCTGATTAAACTCGTTTTCTTTGGCGGAGAGAAGCTCTTTAAGCTCATTAATTTTCGCCTCGTATGATTGGTTATGGTCAAATGCGTCTGATACTTTTTGATCTCTGTTTTGTCGGCTTCTTTCGTCTTCTTCTTTGAGCTGGTTGATTTGGGTCAAATAGTTATGTTTGAGTTCTGTTATTTCTTTGTCTTTTTGTTGGTTTGTTTCAAAGAGTTCTTTCAAATTGTTTTCAAGAGTTGTATTCAAATTTTGAATATGGCTCATTTGGCTCTCAGACTGGCTCTTTAAGGATTCAATTTCGCCAATTAGTTGTGCAATTTGTCTGTCTTTTTCTTCAAGTTCTTGTTGATGCTTTTCATTGAGGTTCTGTATGACTTCGCTTTCAGATTTAGTGTCATCTGTATTCCTGCTAAGTTCTTGGAGCTTCGATGAAAGCTCGGCTACTCGGCTGTTGTCATCAGCTGATTCTTTATTTGATTGAATCGTGCGAATGATAGCATCATTGTTTTCTTCTTCATTAAAGATATTCCTGACTTGATTGGAGAGATCTAAGTCCTTTTCAACAAGTTCTGGGTAATCAGCAGTATTTTGTCGAGTAAGGTAGAATGACTTGACAATGTTGGAAATATGCTTATCATCTTCATTATTACGTGTTGAGTACTCTTGGAGTTGTTGCTGCGCAATTTCAAGTTGAATTTCAAGATTCTCTTTCGTCTTGAGAATCTCAACGTTTTTGGCTCTCAATTCATCGCTTTCAATTACTCGATTTTTTAAATTATCAATAAGATTATTTATGTTGCTGTCTTCCAGGTTGATATCACGTTTCATTGTTTCTGTAAATTCTCTAAGTGTCTTGATGTTAGAAATAATGGAATCGTTATCATTTTCTTCTTGGAAAAAGGTTCTTACTTCTTGACCTAGTTTCGTGTCTAAATCGTCGTTTAATATTAAATCTGCGTCACGTGTAATAATGTTGGTTCCTTCTTGGTTCTGTTCAAGAATTCCTTTAAGCTGCTCTGGAGTATAATTTGAACCGAGTTCGATTTGACAAATTTCTTCTGTTTGAATCGCCCTCTCATTTGCATCGTTATGCTTTTCTAGTTGTTCAATATCTCCAAGTTGGTTAAGCCTTTCATTTTGTGAAATATAATTATCAACCAGAAAATGAAACCTAGATCCAAGAGATAAAAGCCTATTAGTATTCTGGAATGATTTGTTATTATTTGAATAATTCCCAGTAATTATCTCAGCACGAGTTAGATTCGTTTGCAAATTATTGATTAATTGTGACTGTTGAAAAGAAAATTTTGATAATTGATCAATTTGCTTTTTTAATGACTCAAGTGAATCTCTTTTTAGTGTTGTTTGATTTGATTGGGTTGTTGGTAGCGACGAATGATAGGAACCTCGAGGAGAATGAGAACTATCTATTAATTGTTCTTTTTTAAGGTTAAATTTGGTATCTTCTTGTTTTTCCCGTTGAGGTATTTGATGAATAGCAGGAACTTCAGAATGTGAATTGGACGATGATTTTTTTGTAGTGTTTTTAGGAGAAGATGGCAATGGGGTGGTTGTTTTAACAGCCTTACCAGAAACTACTCTCGTTGTGGTTGTAAATAATACTGGTCTATTGGGAATTCTTGCATGTTTGGGAGATGACATGCTTATTGCAATATCAAAATAAAAACTAATTTTTTTGGTACGTTAAATTTATTTCTGAGAAAAACTCAAATAGTTCAACGATCAAATTTAAGGTCAATTTGGTGATTTTATTAAATCTGAATGAATAAAAGATGATTCTCAAAAAACAATCAAACTCTGAAAGCGCATTAATTTCCTAAAAATTGAATAGGTAAAAATTGAATAGAATAAAAAAAAAAAAACATTTACACTTATCTCTGAATTAACAAAATATAAATCTTATAAATAAGCAATATTATATTATATAAAATATGTAGAAAATAATAATTAATTTGTTAAAAAAATTAATGAAAAACAATTTCATCATATATATCTTAATATTTTATTATATTTTCAGGAAATATGCTCAATATTAAAGATTTCTTTGATTTATTACTTAAAAGGCTGCAGATTATGATCATTTACGTGACTGTTTCGATTTTTTATCAATTTAATTTTACCGGACTTGCCCGGATTTTCAATTTACCGGACTTGCCCGGATTTTCAATTTACCTGACTTTATTGCTCAATTCAAAATACATAATTTTATAATAAGTTTATTTTTTATTTAGCATTATTTCATCGTCATATAATCAGAATAGAATGTAGGTGATAGATTGTTATTAGGTGGAATAATACTTAAAAATTTTCTACGTAAATTTAAGTTTTCTTCTTTTAAACGCTCAATTTCATCTGCTAAATTTTGCATTTTTTCCATTTTATTAATTTTGACAGAAGAAATATCAATTCAATTTTGAAATTTTAATTACAAATTGAGGTAAATCAACATGAAGACGATGAATATCAATTCAATTTTATGAATTAAAAAAACTTAAATATTTTTATATCCAGGGTTGGAATCGAAATAATATAAAATAAATTTTGTAATAGTTTTCCTTATAAAGATAATAGTAAAATATTTTCCATTTTTAATCTGTGAATTTAGAGAAAAAGAATGATTAAAAAATAAAACATCAATAAAACTATAATAAAATCTTTTTTTAATTTTTAAATTATTCAAAATGCTATTTTTATTTATTTAAAAGATAATAAATATTATATTTAAAAATATACTCTAATTCTTATAAAGATATTCATAGATTATTTTTTTTAAAAATTAAATAGAATATTTTATGTTGACCTACCTTTCAAAAAGAATATCCTTTTACTCTAGAAGATGTCGATATAAAAATCATTGGGTTTTAGCTGTAAAAAATCACAGGATTAATAAGTCAATACAATAGAAAAAATACGATAAATTTCGATGAAAATTTGAGATTGAAATTTCAATTAATTCAATTGTGCATTGAAAAATTGTGATAAAGAATTTCAGTCACTTCAGAGATTAATTGAATTTTCAAAAAAAATTTTAATTCATTGATTTTTTTTTACAAATTTTTATGCAACCACCAAATGAGGTCCTTCTTTCATTTACAGAAACGTCAGATACTCTGACATCAAACCAATTGATTTCAAAGAAGAAATCTCATTTTAAAATCAAGAGAATTTTTGTATTTGTAGTAATTACATTAGTCGAAATTCTTCTTTTTTTCCAGCGAGCTTGTCCAACTGTTGTTACTGATGATCTTTCTAAAGCTTATGATGTCCCTGTTTCACAATTAGGTATTTTTGCATCAATGTTTTATTATCCATATGCATTATTTCAACCATTCGCAGGTCTTTTATCAGATGTAATGGAACCAGCTTATATAATCAGTTCTAGTGTAATTATTGCTGCTATTGGAGATGTAATATGTGGATTAAGTAAATCAATTTATGTCGGATGCATTGGTAGATTCATCGTTGGTATGGGATGTGGTCCAATATATACTCCGTGTAATCGAATCATCTTAAATTGGTTTCCTCTTGAACACTATTCTAAAATATTAGGATTATTTATTGCATTAGCAGGTTGCGGTGGTATTCTGGCTCAAACACCATTAACATTAATGTCCAATCTAATTGGATGGCGTTGGTGTTTCCATATAATCGCCATTGTCTCAGCATTTTTTTCATTATTAATTCTATTTTTTGTAAGAGGGAACCCTGTCGTTTATGGTTATCCAGCAGTTAATGAAAGCCTATCCTCAAATGCCAATGATGCTTCTCTCCAGCAAAAATATAGCAAACTTATGCAAAATTTAAAGACGATCATAACCAATTCAAATTTTTGGATTGGAGCGATTTTTGTTTTCTTCTCAAATGGATCTTTTTACAACGTCACAGGAATTTGGGGTGGTCCCTATTTGAAAGACATGCTTGGATATGACTCAATAAAGGCAAGTAATGCCCTTCTTGGCCTTTCAATTGGAGCTAATGTTGGATCATTAATTAATCCTTTCATTTCAGATATTATTTGTCGTTCAAAGAAATTGACGATCATTTTATTATCAATCATTGCAATCATTTGTTGCATTCCTCTTGCCTTTTATACGTCGAAATTATCCTTCGCTATTGTTATTATCCTTTTTGCAGTTTTCGCCATGTCAACAAATGGTGTCATTTCAACCCTGTTTCCAATGTGCGTCGAACTTTTCCATCCTGCTGCCGGATCCTCCGTCGGCGGCTGCCTGAACTGCTTCGCATTTCTCTCATTGATCATTTTCATGCCTCTAACAGGCCAAATTCTCGACCATTTCGGAACTTTGCCAGATAATCCAAACGTGCATAATCCTGACGGTTTTAAATACGGTTTATGGGTGTTCAATATTTGTGGTCTCTCGATTGGCGTAATTATTCTTTTATTTTTCAGAAAACTTCAAAAAGTTGAGTTGTCAGTAGAAACACTGACAACTTATGATCCTGTCAATTGACATATATTATGCAAAATCTTATATATTGAATAAATTTGAATTTTCTTAATGAAAATAAAAATTAAAAAATGCAAAAAAATGGTTGCCATGGGATTCGAACCCACGATAAACCAGGTTTTGAATCTGGTGCCTTCGACCACTCGGACCAAGCAACCTTCTTGTTATTAGAGAGCTAAATATGAATTTAATGTTATCTAATATGGAAATAAAATTAGATATCTAATATGGAATTTATCAATAATATTAATATTGAACCGATATTCTTCAAAAAGTTGTAATATTCACATGAAATTATTATTTTTTTAAATTCAAATAGTTGATAGTCATTAATAAAGAAAATTGTACTTATGTATTTTAATTGAGTAATCATTAAGTTCTGCCTAGATTGATTTTTTGGAAATAGCAAGAAAAAATGATTGTTATGTATTATTATTTCAAACAAATAAGCATAGTGCCCAAAGCAGAACAAAAAAAAAAAAAAAAAAGAATTTTAAAAGTTGAATAATGAACTTGGTAATTCCCGGATATAATATTCAGTGGACCTCTTTCAATAATTTATTGTTATCATACTGTTACTTTATTTATTAGTAAAAGTTGAAAAATGCCCAATGTCTTATCTTCAAAAAAAATTAAATGAATGAAACAAAAAAAAAATTGTTTTTTTTTTTTTTTAATATTTAATACCGTGAATATATACAAAACCATCCAAATAACACATATTGTCTACGGCTAATCAATATCCTGAAAGAATAAAGATGGATTTAATGAATAGTAACCAGATTGTTTTTGTTCAAGAATGCTGTTAAATTGAGAGTTTTGTAAGGCATGCCTTTGGGGGCAGTTGGTCTTTCGATTCGTGGACCAATTTCTTCTGGGTTAAATGAAAAGCATCCATTGTAAATTTTCTTTGTATTTGTATTTTCATCTGATTCTTTCTTTAAATTAGTTCCGTGATTTGGTTTTAACCAAATGCTATCAAATGCGAAGTCCATTGTTATAAGTAAATGAAATGATAATCTTATTAATTTTGGGAAATTTATAAAAAAATTTTCAAAATTTATGGAAATTTTTAAATTCAATTGGGAAATTTTTAATTGAAAAGTAAAATTTTATTTTAATTTTTTGAATACTATTCAAATTGTTTTTTTATTAAAAGATAGAATTTCCAAGGGCACAAATATTTTTAGCGTTTAATATCACTGAAATAAAAAATATTACATAATTTAAAAATATAAATACATGTTTATTCTAATATAAAATAATTAATTCATTATAATTTTCTTCTTCCTCCTCTTCTTCATCATCATCTTCTTCTTCGTAACCTCCTTCATGCATCATCTTTGTGAATTTCACAAAATCTTTCCAAGTTCTGTGATCATCCATCAATTTTCCTGTCATTCTTAAAAATGTAAATTCGTTCAATCCTTTTGAAGCCCAATTCAACACCTGTTTATAAGCGTCCCAGTCATATCTTTTGATAGCATTTTCACCTTCAAAGTTTAATCCATATTTCAAAGCACTTTGAAAAACTTCATAAACAAGACTTTCTGAATCTGAAGCCGACTCTTTATCATGACCTTTCATTTCGAGGCAAGTGAAGCAGAAATCAGTGTCATTTTCTTTTAGCATTTTAGCAATCTCTGAATATCCTTCATGGCCGTTTGTGTTGTAGAGTCCGGCTGTTGCTTCAGCGCATCTTGTGTTGTTCAAGTATTGCCAGTGAATTCCCGATATTTTGGCTGACAGACGAGTTGTTGGGAAGGCTTCGCGTGCAATTTCAAGAACGTTTCGGCCGTGTTCAATCAACTTCTCTGAATACCAATTCAAGAAAAATTTGCTGTATTCACTTTTATAGCCACTTTTCCAAAATGTCGGTCCTTCTGGGTATTCTTTATAACTGTTGCCAATGTCATTCGGTGGCGAATTCCATTCTGGATGTCCTGCCTCTTTTGCGTCTTTTTCGAACATTTTTTGAAATTCAAAATCGTAACATTGAAATGAGCCACTGGCTGGATATTCCCGTTATAATCCCGAAAAGACTGTATTATCATACAGAGCAAAACAGTTACTATATCTTATCGATAAACATCTCTGAAAGATAAATTTAATCTGATATTAACGATGATATCAGCACTATTTTTCATTAATTTAAAAGCAACAAAAAAGAGGTACAATTTTTTCAATAGTTTATTCTTTAAAAAAGAGCTTTTTTTTAAAAAAAAATCTTCCAAAATGTTTAATTCCATGTATTGATAGTTTTAGTAAAAATAATGTGTCAATATAAATATTAATTTTTATATAAAAGATTGAAAAAGTTTTATTTAATTTATATCTGTCTGTCATGTTTCTTTTCAAATATTTTGATTAATTGAAATATTGAAAAATTTGAATTCATTTTTTATATTCTCAATTTTTATTCAAAACAAAATAAAAAAATACAAATAAAACTATCTATTTGAACCATTTTTTTGGTTTTTTAGGACAATTCCTTTTTTATATTTAATATTTATATGTATTCTGTTTTTTAGAACAATTCCTTCTTATTTCATCGAAATTTAAAAAAATAAAATTGGAGCACATTAAAGAATTTTTTAATTAACACAATTTTTCAAAGAAAATTGATTTTTTCAAAGAAAAAAATAGGTTCAATAATTTTAAAATTTCTTTATATACAAAAAGTACTTCAATTATTTGTTATAAAAATAGTCAATATCGTCTTAATTACTCAACAAAAATAATTCTTCAATATTGAAAATGCTTGAAATTTGCATATAATAAATATTATGATAAAGTGTTCATTCCTAAAAAATTAAAATTGGTCTTGAATATCTATTGTATTTATTTGATTGCCTCATGTTAAATATTAATATTCATATACCAAATCTTGAGCACAATGCATTTCTCTTTTTCAAAGTTGAATAATATCGTTTTAACTTTTTCAAATAAAATAATATGCTTACAAAAAAAAAAAAAAAAAAAAAAAAAAAAAAAAAAAAAAAAAAAAAAAAAAAAAGAGTTAAATATTTATTTCATGATTTAAAAAATGTTTTTTAAATGTTGAACAGATCAATATTTAATTAAAAAAATAAATAAAAAATTGCTGCGGTTGAATGATTATCCAATTGAAATTTGATTTTAAACAATTTTTTCAAATAATTTTTTTTTAATAAAAATCACTTCATTTTTTTAGTTTGCTGTATTAAAAATGGCATCCCAAATAAGCAAGTTGCGTGTAAATGGCGTGTACAATCCAATTGGATATGACACCAGTTCTCTTTCTTTTTCCTGGCTTGTTGAAGGAACCAAAGCCAAATCCCAAAAATCAGCCAGAGTCATCATCTCAACAGATCCAAGCTGTGACCCAAATAAAAAGGATCAACTAATTCATGATTCAGGTGTATCAGCTGAAATCAGCTCATTAGAATATAATCCCAATTTTGATACAAAGACTGTTCTTCATCCAAGGACCAGGTATTACTGGAAAGTTCAAGTTGAAACAGATCTCAATGAAAAATTAGAATCACCGGTCAGTTTCTTTGAAACATCAAAATTAAATGAACCATGGACAGCCAAATGGATCGCAACTGAAAAAGTTGGCAAGATTACTCCACCTTATGTTAGAAAAGAATTCAATCTTTCCAAGAAGGTTAAAGAAGCCCGTGCTTACATGACTGGCTTTGGTCTTTTTGAATTATATGTTAATGGAAAAAGGCCCACCGAAGAATATTTCATTCCAGGCAATACAAACTATCGTTTGTGGGTCCAATATCACACATTTGATATCACAAGTTTATTGAGAGAAAACAAGAACGCAATTGGTGTTTTAATTGGTGACGGATGGGCAAGAGGAAGAGTTGGATATGACATGCCATCTGCAGATTTCACAAGGAAAACTGATTACAGAGGAGTTCCTGTTGATTATGCAACTGATAGATATGAACTCATTTGTGAAGTTCATGTTACTTATGAAGATGGAACAACAGAAGTCATCAATTCAGACGGAACTTGGAAATGTCACAAGAGCAACATTTTAATGAATGATATTTATGATGGTGAAATCCAAGATGCAAACTTAGTCATCCCGGGATGGAATGAACCAGGACTCGATGATAAAGATTGGTTTGAATGTAATGAAATCAACGAACCTCTTCATGAAAAATTGACTCCAAGATTTGGTCTTCCTGTTGTTGTCAAAGAGCGCAGAAAGCCAAAGGAGATATTCACAGATCCAGCAGGAAACAGAGTTATTGATATGGGTCAAAACATGACAGGTTGGATTGAGATGAAGATTTATGCACCCAAAGGATTTGAAGTCATTGTTGAACATGGTGAAATCTTACAAGAAGGAATCTTTTTCAGAGACAACATTCGATCAGCTCTTCAACAATTCCGTTACATTTCTGATGGTAAAGAATTAGTTGTTCATTCTCATTTCACATATCATGGCTTCCGTTATGCTCGTTTAGTCCAATGGGAAGGACCAGTAAATATTGAAGACTTTGTTGGTTGCAATGTTTATTCTGACCTAGACATGGTTGGACATCTTGAAACAGGAGTTCCAATTGTTAACAAATTCATCAGCAGCGGTTTCTGGAGTCAAAGAGACAACTTCTTGGATGTTCCAACAGATTGTCCACAAAGAGATGAAAGACTCGGATGGACAGCTGATGCACAAATATTCAGTGAAACAGCTATGTTCAACATGAACTGTTATGCTTTCTATCGTAAATATCTCAAAGATATTTTACTTCAACAAATCCGTGATGGCGGAATTCCACCACTTTGGTGCCCACAATTTTTGGCCTTGAAAGACATTCTCTTCTTCCCAACAGATGGAATGATTGCATGGTCAGATGTTGCCACTGTCATTCCTTGGAATGTCTACTTAATGAACGGAAAGAAACAAATTTTGCAAGACTACTTCGAAGCAATGACAATGTGGGTCGAAGTTATGTACAAGCATGTTAAAGATGGTCTTTGGGACATCACCTATATGCAATTGTGCGATTGGCTTGCATTAGACGGACCAGATATTCCAGAAAATCATAGCCGCGTTATTGGTGGAACAGAGAACACATTCCAATGCTCTGCTTATTATTATTATTCTTTGAATTTGGTTTGCAAAGCTGCAAAAGTTCTCGGAAACAATGAAGCC